TTTTTTTTTTTTTTTTTTTTTTTTTTTTTTTTTTTTTGATGCTGGCAGTAATGGGATCTGAACCCCTGACCTTGGTGTTACAACACTGCAGTCCAACCACCTACGCCAACTGGCCAGCTAATATAAATTTTTAAAAAAGGAAACCATATGGGGCCGGCCCGGTGGCGCACTGCTACAGTGCGCCGCTTGGGAAGCGCGGCAGCGCTCCTGCCGAGGGTTCGGATCCCACATACAGACCGGTTCCCACTCACTGGCTGAGCGAGGTGTGGGAGCAACACCGAGGATTGAGATCCCGTTGCCGGTCCCGATCCGGTACGGGCACGACACTGAGGGTTGCGATCCGTTGCTGGTCACGAAAAAAGACAAAAAGGGAAAAAAAAAAAAAAAAAGGAAACCATAAGGAATTTCCTCAAAAAATTAAAAATAGAAATACCATATGATTAAGCAATCCCACTCCTGGATATTTATCTAAAAGAAATGAAATCAGGATCTTGAAGAGGTATTTGTACTCCCACATTCATTGCAACACTATTGACAATAGCCAAGATATGAGAACAACCCAAATGTTCATTGACAGATGAATGGGTAAAGAAAATGTGGTATATACATACAATGGAATATTATTCAGCCTTAAATAAGGAAATACTGTCATTTACAACAACATGGGTGAAACTTGAGGACTTATGCTAAGTAATAAGCTAGTCAGAGAATAACAAATACTGCACGATACCACTTATATGAGGTATATAAACTAGTCAAACACACAGAAGCAGAGAGCAGAATGGTGGTAGACAGGGACTGGCAGGGAGGAGGAAATGGGGAGTTGATATTCAACTGGTATACAGTTTCACTTATGCAAGTTGATTAAGTTGTAGAGATCTGCTGTACAACAGTACCTATAGTTAAAAATACTGTATTGTACACTTAAAAATTTGTTAAGAGGGTAGATCTCATGTTAAGTGTTCTTACCACTATTAAGAAGAAGAAGAAAAAAAAGAAGATCTGTGAGAGAGAAGTTTCAGCAGGAACCCTGGAATTACAAGCATTCACCACCATCCTTTTTGATCAAAGGAATCTGAGACTATAAACATGCATCTTGGGGCATCTCATCATTAGCACCTTTGGTCTCCAAATCTCAAATGATGAAAGACTTTACTATTTTGAAGAAAATGGTATGTGGGTTTTTTTAGGAAATAAGAAGAAAAACAATTAAAGAAAAAAAGAAGAAATACAAGGATATATCAACAAATCTACCAACACATAGATACATTTCCCTCAATAACGGAAAATGAAGTAGACAAAAAATGTGTAAGGAAACAAAGAGTCCATATTTATATTAATTAATTAGTTAATTGAAAGTGTTATGAAGAATGAGATGTTTGCATAGTTTCAAAGCATTTCTCCTCAAAATATTTATCACAATGGGAAAAAAGTAAGTTTCTTTACCTGCAGAAAACTGAAAATCACCACTTAAATCAGTGATCAAAGTACACATTGCAAATAATGGTACATACCAAAATTGTGTGCAGCCTGATAGAATTCATTAAGAACACAGCATCACTGCTGTGGTATTTCTGCCAACAATGCAAGACCTGAGTCATATCATGAAGAGTAGACCAACACAAAACTGAGCAATACTCTACAAAATAATTGGCCTGAAATTTCCAATAATGTAAAGCTCATGAAAGTCAAGGAAAGACTTAGGAATTATTCCACATTAAAGGAGCCTAAAAAGGCATGACAACTAAATGCAGCGACAAAGACAACATGTGATTCTGAACTAGATCTCTTTGCTACAAACAGTGCTATTGGGACAACCACTAAAACTTGAGTGGAGTCTGAGGATTAGATGGTAGCAAAATAGCAATGCACATTTCCTGATTTTGATGAATGTACTGTGGTTACATTAACAGAATGTTCTTCATTTGTTTGAAATATATATTAAACAATTCAGGCGTGATGGTGCATCATATTGTCAACTCATTCTCAAATGGTTCAACAAAAAGAGTTCTTTGTACCTTCTTGCTACTTCTCTATGAGTGTGAGACTGTCAAAAAACATGTCATAAAGACAACATGTACTAAACACTCATGGAACTAACTGCTGCAATCTTAAATATACTATTCTATGGAAAAGAAAATATAGGCTATTCCTAACTCATTTTATGAATCTTGAAATCAAAACAAAGACAGTATGAGAAATGAAAATTAAATCTCACTTGTAAACATGGAAATGAAACTTCTAAATAAAATATTAGCAAATTGACTCTGGCAATGCAGAAAAAAAAGAATCATTCCAAAAATCTAAGGATGGTTTAACATTAGGAAATACATTGATAACTGAAGTCACCACATTAATATAGCAAGAGCAAAAAACCAGTACTAACTCGATAGATGCAGAAAAAGCATTTAATAAAATCTAACAACTATTCATGTTAAAAATTCTTAAACAACAGGAAATTTCCATAACTCAATAAAGAGTATTTACCCAAATCCAAAAGAAAATATCATACTTGGAAAACTGTTAGAAGCATTTCCTTAAGATCGAGTACAACAATGACGTCTGCTTTTACTGCTTCTATCCCATGTTGTACTGGAGGTCCTAACAGTGCCATTAAGACAAGTAAAATAAATAAGAGGAAGAACAAAATGGGAAAAAAAAACTGCCGTTATTCACAAATGACATTATCATCTTCATGGAAAATCTAAGAGAATCTGCAACCAAATTATCAGAATTAAGAAGAGAGGTAGGTAAGGTTGTTAGATATAATATCAATACACAAAATTACTTTTCTATATGGCAGCAAAAAATAAAAAGTAAGTTTTTAAAAAGCTGTTACTGTGCTGGCCGGTCAGCTCAGTTGGTTAAGCATGGTGTTGTAACACCATGGTCAAGGGTTCAGATCCCCATAAAGGTGAGTCACAAAAAAAAAAAAAAAAAAAAAAAAAGTTACTTAAGAAAAAATTTGAAAAAAAACAACAATTGTAAAAAGAAAAAGAGCAAGGTAAGAGTATCAAGTTATTGAAGTTATTGAGTTATCAAGACTTATTAGACTAACAGGCTGGCAAGTTAGCTCACTTCAGAGAACGAGGTACAAAGAACACCGAAGTCAAGGGTTTGGATCTCCTTATTGGCCAGCCGCCAAAAAAAAGACTTACTAGACTGAAAGCTATAGAAAAAGATATTGTGATGCTGGTGCAGAAAGTCAAACAGACCAATGTAAAGGAGGAAAAAAGTTAGAGACAAGCCAGCACATACATGAACATTTGATAAATAAAAGAGATGGAATTGCTGATTTGTGGGAAAAAAACAGGTATGTAATAAATAAAAATAAAATTAGAACCACATTTTATACTGTACACAAAAATTAATTAAAGGTAGCTTAGCGATCTAAATTTTAAAAGCAAAATTTCAACTTTTAAAGGAAAATACATATATATAGGGCCGGCCCTGTGGCTCACTCGGGAGAGTGTGGTGCTGATAACACCAAGGCCACGGGTTCGGATCCCATATAGGGATGGCCGGTTTGCTCACTGGGTGAGCGTGGTGCTGACAACACCAAATCAAGGGTTAAGATCCCCTTACCGGTCATCTTTAAAAAAAAAAAAAGAAAAGAAAAAAAAGTTGGAGTATTCACACTTTCTGATTTCACAACTTAACTTCAGCAATCAAAACAGTGTAGTGGGGGACTGGCCAGTTAGTTCAGTTAGTTAGAGTGAGCTATTATAACACCAAGGTCAAGGGTTCAGATTCCCATAGTGGCCAGCCACCAAAAAATCACCACCAACAACAGAACAGTGTGGTGCTGGCATAAGAACAAACATATAGACCAATGGAATAGAATAGAAAGATACAAAAAGCACATACCATAAAGGAAAGATGATAAATTCAACTACATTAAAATGTAAAACTTCAGTGCATCAAGACATCAAAAAAAGAGAAAAGATCCCACTGCATGCGTAAAAATATTTGCAAAGCATATATATAACCAGCCAGGCATTTGCATTCAGAATATATAAGGAACTTCTACAGTAAATGAGGAAAAGACAAAGAGCCCAGCACAAAGGTGAAAGACATAATAAATAGGCACTTCTTAGGAAAAAAGATCCAAGCAGCCAGTAAACATCAAAAAGATGTTCAATCTCAGTTGTAATCAAGAAAAGGAAACGACAAACCTCAGCATTCATACTTATCTACTCTTAGTGTATGGTGTATTAAAGTGAATCATTATTGAACTTGTCCTCTTATTTCTACCAGTATAGTTATGATCTTATCTAGACTTTTTATGAAAAGTCATCTGCAAAATTAGCACTACATTTTTCAAACACTATTCAAAATAAACAAAACATATAGAAAAATATATCTATTTTTTCCCTGTAAATAAAGAATTCTGCCCTAAGAAGTGGAAATAGGTCTAGACAGAAATTAGTTCCACAGCCCAACACTCTAACTGCACCACTGGGTATATATTTTTTGAGTCTAAACTTCCATATCATACTAATTATACTAACATTTTCAGTGATGCCAGATGACATAATCATTACAAAGTCCTTTTCTTTTAAAGTAACAGTTGCAATGATCTACATTTTTTTCTATGGTCCTTTCTTTGTGTCCTATTTCTAGTACAGCTTCCAGTGTATTTCAACTGTATTTTTTAAAAAATCACACAGAAGTGATGAGCTAAAGTACTATTTAATTTTGTTTTACTTATTTTATTGACTTTTTAAGTACTACACTCAGAAAAGGCTTAAAGAGATGAAATTAGCTTAAAAGATAAGCAAAATGACAGTACCTCACAATGCTGGCGAGAAGCTTGAATTTCACATTCATATTTGTTCTTTACAGATTCTAAGCAGAGCTCTCTATAGATTCCTGCAACCAAACACAATTACTCTGATTATGTTAGCAATAAAGAGTTTCATTATCACTTCCCTACAGGAATTCTGTCCTCATCATATTTTATAAGATAAATCAAGAAGAAATTGATGACTGATTCTAACTTTATATTTAAAAATTAAAAATAAAAAGGCTCATTTAAAATATATACAAAAGGAGACAGAATACTGAATTTAAGAGGCACAAAGAAACCACACTGCTAATTTTTGTTCTTACCCCATTCTTCTAAAGAATACTACTAAATATTTGATAGAAAATGATCAAAATGAAAATAAAAACCCTTCTCCTATGAAAAACAATCTCTCAGGTTTCTCAAATAGAAACAGAGAGACAATAAACTCTGGTTTCATCGATCATCTATACTCAGAGTAACAACTGGATAGTCTACCCCATCAAAACTACAATTTCTTAACTATTATTTATTTTCAGAGTCCAAGCTTCCAAGAGGACAAAATGTGTAAGCTGATATAACAAAATCTGTGATGTTCTGAGTACTCCTGACCGGGCTTTACCTAGAGGAAGATGCCCAAGAAAGTTTAACTTAGAGGTAACAAGACAATAGTATAAAATAGGCAACATAACCATGCAAATATGCCACCACAAAAATGGCAAGCAAAGAGCTCTCGATGTGTATACTAAACTCTATGCCACAGTTGGTCCTACAAATGTAATTATCTCTCCTTGTATAGTAAAGGCAGGGGACAGATATCTGTAACTATGCCCTTAGCAACACATTCACACACACTACTCTTTGCAAAATCAACAAGTAAAGGAGGCCACAGAGTAGAAGAGTAAATAATTGGCTCAAGTAATATTTCCTTATCATACATTTAGTCTAAAAGAACATCAAAGAAAATTACGGACATTTTTACTTTTAAAGGTATGCTTTGTCAATATGCAAAGACAGCAGGTTAAGTATCATATCACCTACATATTCAATATTAAGCACTCAAGAATAAAATTTGGCTTAAGGTGAATTTTGTACAAAAAGAACTCGTTATCAACAATGCCTTAGGTATTACTTAACAGGTATATAAGGATCAATTAGTGTTCTAAAAAAAGAAAAACAATTACAATCTCTTAATTAAAGTTCAATTTTTAGTTCGATCATGAAAAATCGTTTAAGTAGATACATACCTTGATTATGAGTACTAAGACACAGGACTGAGGCTGGATCCCAGTTACAAACAGAAGACTGAAGTTTAACCATACAAATATATTTATAGCCACAAATGAGTAACCAAAGTTATCAAAATTAAGAAGTATCATTAAATTATCCGGCTGAAGGCTAATTCCCTGTTCTATATTATCCTGATCAAAAAATTTTTAAATGCTTTTTATAAATAAAAAGAAATCCTTATTATTCTTACAGATGAAAAATACCAAGAGTCCTTAAACTCAACCTTAATTCATCTAATAGGGAATTAAATTGTGACAGTAACAGTATCACTTAATAAAGGTATCATAGTTCCTAATTGTTTCACCGCATGTGGAAGTATATTCTCAACGACATTGTGAGCAACTTGAGGGCTTTTTCTTTTTTTTTAATTCCCCACAGCAGCCAAGAAAAGCAAGAGGCATTTAATAAATAACTGTGGGCTAACTGATAGAGAAATACTCTGGTCAATGTAAATATATTTGTAATTCCATCAACAACACTTACTTGATAAACACCTTTAAAGCTACTGAAGAATTTATATTCTAGTATATGGAAAAGATGTTTCACTTTCCTACCTGCTACCTTTGTACGAATTTGCATATTTTCCTGTAAAGTTGCCAGTGGTTCCAAATATTCTGGTGCTTTTCCAGCTATGACTTCTTGTAGTTTTGCATCCACCTGACTTAATCGTTCTTTATAAAGTCTTAATAAAGCAAAAATTAAGAAATTAATTTAAAAATTCCAAAAAAGGCTAACAATCTGCCATTTCTTTATATTATTTCTTCCTAATATCATTCATATTCTAACAATCTGTCAAATGTATTTTTTCCTTGACCTCAACTGGAGAACTCAGTTATATTTGACTTCATGCACATAAATACAAAATAGACACCTGTCTATTTTTTTAAATCAGTGTCACTTTTTAATGGTTAATTCACAATACAAAAGATACAACTGAAATAACTACTTTTTGGCACTCTCAATTTTTTTGTTTGTTTGTTTTAACTGCAGAACAATAAATCAATTCTAAGAGAAAAGGTCATTTAAACACCGAGTTAAAAAAACAACAACAACAAAGAAATCATTTTGAATAGGTTAGATATAGATATCACCAGTAAACAAAATAAATAATTCCCTGGCCTCTCTTCACCTCTCCTGAAAAGGAGTCAGTGTTACAATATTCAGCCTACTTAATTTTTTAAAAGAACAAAGAGGAAGTAGAATGATGAAGATAACACCAATGGCTACAGAACCTATGATGTGGCATATGCAGTTTGTCTCAACTGCAAATGAAGAACCTATAACAAAGTGAGTTGCTTAATGAACGAGGAAATAAAAAATGGGGCAGGAAGTCTCTGTTGCCCTTATTTATAAGACTACTTACAGATACTCTAACTTACCAGCTGTCACACTAATACGTTTTGTTTGATTACCTAAAGATAGAGTATGTGAGACATCTCAGTATTTATTTTTAGCAATAATCCTGCAGGATAGAACTAACTCTTTTTAACAAAAAATGTTAATATTGTCATCCTAATGAAAGGCACTTCTAATCCTGGTTTTATGGCATTTTAAGGATGTCTGAAAAAGATCAAAGCATATTAACAATTTAAGACCATTTTGTAATTTTTTTCCCCGCCCTTTCTAACTTTTATCATAGGTGAATACGTCCTAATATGTCAGAAGTTTGGTATGCAGTAACTTCCAAAAGGAACCACTGATTTGCTTGTAGTTGTTAGTATAACTAGCTATTGGCTTTTGAAAACATCATGGTATCTAGCTTTCATATAAAATTCTACTCTTTCCTCTTGAAAATATAAACCAATACAATAAAGACAATCAATATTTATTGATTATAATTGATCATTATAATTAGCATAAGAGAATTATATAATGATTCTTAAGGAGCAAAACAAGTTTGAATGTTATGTAATAATTTTTTTTAAACAAAAGAGGAAAAAATTATCCGCATTAACTGCAAAAATAATACATTATTCTTGTCTGGGCTAAAATTTTCTAAAATTCAAGAAACAATGATAAACAAATGTATAAAGTCAGAAAACATGATACTAATATTGTTTTAAATTATAACACAACATTAGACAAAATGCTAAAAAATTTGATACAAAGCATAACTATACCTAAAAAATATCAAATATATACAAAATATTGATAAGATAGCCTGAATTTATGAACCAGCATCTTGAATGAAGAGGGTATATGAATTAATAATATTCCATTAACTAACCTTTTAAAAGAACAGATTCCTCAAAATCAGTAAAATTTCTATATCTTTGGGATTCAAGTATAAACACATCAAAGGCAAGGATCATGAGTCCCTCAGCAGCAACCACAACACTATTTACAAACGTTAGATGTCGAATACTAAAACAAATGAAAATTTGGATGGTATAAATTCCTCTATCTTTTGAAGAAGGTGGAAGAACTCACCTTCCACCACTATAGAAAATGCAAATGGTGGGTTTTCTGCCTTATGAAGGGAATGCTACTGTGCCCTGTGGTTTTAGAACAGGAGAAGCAGGATAATTATTATTATTTTATTATTATCATATTTTCCACCTTTTCTAAAGAGTATTTGAGACAGTCTACAGAGATACATGGTAAAATAGGATAAAAATAACAAACAAGGCAATTGGGGCAAGAGGAAAAAGAGGTGATTATAAACCAGATACAAATTAATTTTTTGTGAAACATCTTTCTGGACACCAATCCCTTAAGAAAGAACTTTATGAAATAGTGGTCATGGGTCTACTTTTAATACTTTCAGAGATGAATGAAGCTGGTAGGGGGAACTGGCTGATGGTGGTAGTGAGCCATGACAGAGCAAAAATCAAGGCAACTGCCAGCCCCAAGATGAACAAGATCAGGCCTCATGACCAACTAGTGGCAAAGTTCCCTACGTAATACATTATACTAGAACTTAACAGTACTTTTCATTTCTTGGATAACCATAAAATACACTTTAAAAGCTCAACATTGTATAAGTATTATTGAATCATCAATTACTTGTGCTAAAATATAAAAACACAAATTTGCTTCCTCTTTTCCAGAATGATCCTGAATGAACTCTCCACACTGACCAAATAATAGAATCTTTGGGGATCTAAACTAATTTTAATTTAAAATTAGTAATATAAATCTTTAAAAAACTTGGTATAATTTTTTTTTCTAAAGTCAAAATTTTAAATTTCAGATTACTTTGGATTACTTATATTAATTTGTTGCACTAGCATGGAACATTATCTATACATTCATCTCTAATACCAATGAAAATTAAGATGAGAAATGGCATAAACAGCAGGATTCATATCGTAAACAAATTTGTCCCATTTTAGTCTGGCAATTCCAGATAGAGTAAATGGGTTTTCAACTCTTATTTTGGCCTTTCTAGGGAAGTAGAGAAAAAGAATAAGCAGCAAAATTATGAATAATTTATAAACGGAAGAGTCAGCTTCTGAATAAATTAAGGTGTCTATATTCTCAGAAGTTTCTCTCTTTCATTTACGTCCCCAGTATGTAGCTATGCCCCATGACCATGCCAGCAAGTTCCAAAGTGAAAGTTCTCCTTTAAGATGTTTTTTAAACTTTTTTTTATTGATATGTAGTTGATTATACATATTTGTGGGGTACAGAGTTGAATATCAATACCTGTGTACAGTGTGTGATGATCAGATTAGGATAATTAGCCTATTCATCATTACAAAACATAATAATTTCTTTGTGTTAAGGATATTTGATCTCCTAATAGTTGAAGCCTCTTTCAGATCAGTCAGTCCCATAAAATACAAAAGGGAAAATAGTTGAGACTGAATGTAATTGCTCTTGTGCCAATATAAATGTGACACAGTGGAGATTCAGTGACAATGACCTTCTAAAGTTACTACTTACTGATCTTTGAGATCGGTAAACTGTTTTTCAAGATTGGACATTTCATCTAAACATTCCATTCTTCTTCTTTCACAATCTTCATCGTCCATTTCTGTTAATAAAAAGGCAAATATCAAAGATAAAATTAATTTTATATTTCAAATATATCTAAATGTTAAATAGAAAAAAATCTGTAATATGAAGTTGGATGTGTAAGGCCTATATTAAGCCTTAAGAGAAAATAAAAAACATCTAAAATAATTTCTACTACAGAAGGCATCTAAAATACAAATAAGAGTTAAAACTCTAGCAGTCTCTAGATCCTCTTATTTTTATCCATTTTTAAATAATTTTAAAAGACTGACTATAAGCTATGACTGTAAAGTGATTAACACACTCTTGGCTTGTTTTCTACCAGCTCACCAGAACTTAGCACCAAAATGTTTGTGTCCTTTTAAAGGTTAACATTGCTCAAAAACACTTGAAATTCTTCTTTCAGAACTGCTCACGTGACTGATTTGCCCATCGCATAAAAAAGACAACTAATCTCATTATGTTTTCCACAGGATATCTTGGTCTGCCACTCTCATGCTCCCATTGTTCCCACTCCCTAAATTACTGTCAGTTAGTGAGAAAGAAGCAAATGAGGAGAAAAACAAGCAAACTTTTTAAGGAAAGCAACTGTTAATTACCAGGTCTGTCCTATATTCCACATCTTCTATTTTTACATCACATATATTCAACACATCAAAATAACTGAAGCGCAAAATGATCTGCATCTTGATCTTCATCAAATAAAGGTCAAACTATGAGAAAGAGTTAAATTATGTTTGGTTATTTTCATATAGCAATGAAGTATATGATTCATTTTTTAAAATTTTCTAAACATATTAAAAATATTTCTGACTCCTTGGCTATTTAAAATTTGGTCCCTCAAGATGACTCACTCCCCAAGTTCTCTGGAAATCAGAGCTTTTTCTGTAGCCTTAGGATCTACTCAGTACCAAGGTCTGAGAAGAATAAAACTGGAAGTTTAACATGCAAGACATAATGGTAGAATAGAGATGCTTTTACAAGACGCAAAACTGCAAGATGTATTTAAATAATTTCTTTGCACTTTAAAAATCTGACTTGTAGTTCATATTTTTATTAAATTCTTCCCAAATTAAGTTATCCATTATTTTCTGGGATATAATAAAAATTAAAAATCACAATAGTCACCATTAAAATTCTAGGGGAAGAATTTAAACAAATAGATACAATTTTGTGAGACCCTAGCTCCCATCAAAAAAGCAAAGAACACTTGAAGATAAATGCTTTACAGATCTAGGAAATGTATACACATACAGTGTAGATGTTCTTCTTTCTCTATAATCCCCACTTTTGAAGTTTCACCTACTTTCAGGGTTAGATAGATGACTTCCAAATTATTCTTTTCCCATCTCAGGCAGGTTCCAATGCCACATTTCCATCTGTCAGTGTCCATTCTTACTTAAATAGTCCACCATCACTTCAAAAACAACATGTGTAAAATATTCTAACTTCCATCTTAAATCTTTTTTTGTTTTGTCGCATTTGACGGCTGGCCAGTACAGGGATCGAACCCTGGACCTTGGTGTTATCAGAACCATACACTAAGCAACTGAGCTAATCAGCCAGCCCAATCTCAAATATTTTACTTTTATATTTCTGTTTTTTTTTTTTTTTAAAGATGACCGGTAAGGGGATCTCAACCCTTGGCTTGGTGTTGTCAGCACCACGCTCAGCCAGTGAGCAAACCGGCCATCCCTATATGGGATCCGAACCTGTGGCCTTGGTGTTATCAGCACCGCACTCTACCGAGTGAGCCACGGGCCGGCCCGACTTTTATATTTCTGTTGATACTACCACCATTATCCTTGTATCTGGGTTTTTCTCTTACCTTCATTCCTAAACTTGCATTCATTAATCCTGTTTTGGGATTTCTTTGAAATCTTTCACATCTATATTTTCCTTTTCCTTTCCTAGCTCAAGTCCTTCTCCCAACCCTTGCTCTTTTGAATAGGCCTTAAGTTCTGGCCTTTGCCCTTTTTTTTTTTTTTTTTTTTTACATTCCTTCCCCTATAGGAACACCCAACCATTACCACCCCAATCCAAATTCTACTCATTCTTCAAGGTATTAAGGTAATCCCACTTTATTCAACTAGCCTTTTGCGGACAACCGAATTCTGAAAAGAGTTCTTCTGTCTCTGAATTTCTACAGCATTGTCTATAGTTAAGCATTCATCTGGCAATTTAGTCAAGTAGTAACTTATGACAGCTCTTTAATTGAGAACAGATCATAACTATTTATTTATACCTCATACTGAGTAGCACCCAGTGCTGCACAAAGAAGTTACTCATAAACATTTATTTTTGGACGGCTGATTTACTGATTAAAATTACACCCTTCCATGGAGATTTGCTTTGAATGGGACACCTGAAAAGAGGGCATGGGAGTGGGTAATAATAGACTGTCATCGACCTGTCACCAACGCTTCCTTTACATGGCCAAAATCAGGCCAAGCCAAAGAAGTAAGTCTCATCCCCATCATATGAACAGAAAGAAAAGAATCCAAATAACCACCAATTCCATTTACATTTGAAGAACCCGTCCTAAAAGTTTGCAAAATCTATTTGTGGTGTTAATCTGCCCTCCCCACTCCCCACTCCCACTCCCTCCCACCCCCCAAAAAAGAAAAAATCTGAACCAACTCAAAGTTAGAAAAGACCTAAGGGAAGAATAGATTTGGAGAATTTCAACGCTGCCAAAAATCGACCGATTTATAAGTACATGAAAATCCCAAATCACCCCTGATATTAGTTCCCTTCCTCTCAATTTTGAAAACTTCAGGGAGATACTATAAACGGGACAGCTCCCAAGTTAGCCTCCGAAAGAGCACTGATGTAAAGTGCTGACTGACGGGCTGACTTGGAAGCTGAGGTTAGTTAATTCTAAGCCAACCAGGGACCCATAGAAATCTACCTTCGGCCCTGACAACCCACCCACGCTGAGAAGTAAGAGTTGCAAAGTGGAAAAAATAAGGAAAGAGGTCGGTGGTCTGCGGAGAGGAGGCATTTCCTGGGTCTCCCAGACAAGCTGCGGGGTGTTCACAGCCTGGGTTGGTAGCCCCGGGGCACTGCCAGGATGTCCCAAGGGCTGGCACCACCCTGAGCAGGACGGCACCACGTCCCGGAGCTGGGCGAGCCCAAGCCCGCGCCAGCCACGCCGAGAGGACCCGCTTGGAGCCGGCAGCGCCCCGAGACCGGTCCGGGTGCAGCAGAGGGCCGGGAGCTAGTCTCCGCCCCTTCCCTCTTTCTCCGCCCCGCTCTCCCAGCAGGACGCGGCTGCCTGACGTGCGGAGAGCGGCCTGTCGAGCGCCGGGCGCGAGGACCCAGGGTCCCATGCCCACTGAGTCGCGCACCTGAGCTATCTCCATCCTCGGAGACCGACGAGCTCTCCGTGTCCTCGTCCTCGGAACTGCTCCCCTCGTTTTCGGCGTAGTCCACCTCCATTTCATCATGATGGTTGGTCTCCTTCTTATCCCCTCGGGAATGGACCGGCATTTTCCAGCCGCGCCGTCGCTTCCCACACCCGGCGCCCAGCCCGGCCACCGCCACTTCAGTGAAGGGCGCGCGGAACGCCCCGACCCACCCAGCGGCCGAGCCTGCTCTCGACCCCCTCTGCTCCTCCCCTCCCCCTGCCCGGGCCTCACAACCTAACCCGCAGAGCCTGCGCTGGGAGCTCTGCCATTGGTGGAGGACTTCCACCGAGCCGGAGGGCGGGGCTTGCCGTGCTCGGGCAGGGTTGGTTGCCCGTAATTATGGCACGGCCTTCCGGTGTGTGTCGGGAGTTGTAGTCCTTAATGCTCAGACCCGCAGAGGCTACCGGCCTCCATGCCTCAGCAGGCTGGATCTCTTCTTCCTTCTGGACTTCAAGTCCCACAAGGCACAAAACCTGACACACTCGTTCTCAGTTTATAAACTAAACAGAAACAGATTGCACGAATTTGGTCTGTATTTATTCTTTTCCCGCCAAGTGATTGTCTGACCTGCCTTGGCTACCCAAGATGTTACTGTCAGATGTGAAAAGGTCTTTTGCCTGAAAGGGTCTTTGCCTGCGCTTTTAGCCCGGGGAGCTTGCGAACTATCTCTTTTACCTAAGTACTGTACTTTTAATACCGCTAATAAACTATTATATTGACTTAGTAACTGTAGACGATTACTTGCACTTTCTATGTTACACAAAAATCTTTAAGTTCCTGAAACTTTTGCAATCAGTAATATAGAAGGGAAGGAAGTTTTATCTTGGCATTTTCAATCTTGTACTTTTGCATTCATTTTTTTCAAATGCAGCCGGAAGATGCTACCAGCCTTAATTTAACTTCAGTTTTCTCAAAGACAGGGTACATAGACAACAAAGACTCAATAAGTATCATAATAATAATAAATCATATTAATTGACCACTTTAACTCTGTATCAGGTATTTTGGTAATCTCGTTACATGGGTTATATTGTGTGTAATTCTCAGTTTAATAGCCCTGAGTTAGTTGCTATTATTATCCCCATCTTACAGATAAGAACACTTCCTTTGCAGACAAATCTTAAACTCTGTTTTACCCATTATAAAGGCAGGGCTGCTTCTTGAAGTGGCAATTTGCTATTGAAAGATATTTCATAGAATATTGTGGACTGTACAGCATTTCTTCCTCAAACACGAGATCCAAAGACATTTGATGGAGAATGTAAGAATACCCAGGCATAACTGCATTAAAGTCAGATTTGTAGAACTGGCCAGTTAGCTCAGGTAGTTAGAGCATGGTGTTATAACACCAAAGTCAAGGGCTAAGATCCCTGTACCGGCCAACCGCCAAAAAATAAGTAAATAAAGTCAGATTTGTAATTTAATGACAAAAAATATTTCAAGAGCTATATATCTCCTACTATGTAAAGTCGAAATTAAGGGACTTTTATTACTTACTGTCAGTCTACTTCTCCCCTTCTCACTATATTACCCAAAACCAAACTCCTTATAATTGCTAAACGCACAAGCTGTTTCCCATCTCAGTGTCTTTGCACATTCTATGACCTTTGCAACCCCCTTCCTTTCCTTTTCTTTTGCAAAGCCACTTTCTTGACCACACACATCACTACCAGCACCTCCACCATTTAGGACACACTTGTGTTCTTTCAGGCTACTGCTGTAATTTGTACTTTGCAACTTTGTACTTGTTTCTATCGTACTGTATTGTGAATTGTTTAGCAAATGTATCTCACCTATTGGATTTTGAGTTCCTTGAGAGCAGGAATTGTCTTAGTCTAGGATACAAATTCAAAGGCATGCAGTAGTCAGGCAGTAAAGTTAAAAGATCGAAACTTTATGTGAAGGGGGCAGCTGCTTTCCACTCCAGCCAATTGTTACTACCTGAGAATTCTGGCATAAGAATGTCAGACCGATTTTCAAGAGAAACTGGAAATTTTTTTTTTTCCTTTTTTTGTCTTTTTTACTGACCAGTAACGGGATCACAACCCTCATTGTCGCGCCCGTACTGGGGACCGGCAACGGGATCGCAACCCTCGGTGTTGCGCCGGCACCGCGCTCAGCCAGTGAGCGGGAACCGGTCTTCACATGGGATCCGAACCCTCGGCGGGAGCGCCGCCGCACTCTCAAGCGGCGCACTCTCCAGTGCACCACCGGGCCGGCCCGAGAAACTGGAAATTTAGATCCCTATGCGGAATATCCAGATTTGTAAATATTATCTCAAGTGGGGTTTTTTGCTTTGTTTTGTTTTTCTTAAATTCCATATCAAACAAAAACAGCTGTGGGTAAAATCCCTGGCCTCTGTTAATCTTTGTTATATCAACTAGCACAGTTTGTACTAAGTAGTAACAATAGCTTAGATTTCTGGTCACTATGTGCCAAGGAGTGTCATGTGCTTTAAGTATGTTAATTCATTTAAGCCTCATAACAACCCTATGAGGTAGATACTATTATGCCTTCCATTTTATAGATAAGGAAACTGAGGCACAGAGCAGTTAGATACTTGGCCAAGGTCACACAGCTAATGAGGAGCATATTTAACATTTGAACTTCGGTAGTCTAACATCAGAGCCTGCATGCAATGACTGGCATACAATGCTGTTCTAGAAAGTGGTGCTTTCTGTTTCTGCTTGCTCTTCAAGGAAAAACAGAAGGAAGTTGGACAGGAGGAGGCATGGGTTCTAGACATGGTTCTCCTAGAAACCAGCTGATTAAGTTTTGCAAACCACATAATCTCCGGTCAGTTGTAAGATGAGGTGGTTGCATTATGTTATCTTTATGTTTTTTGTTGGGGGCTGGCTGGTACAGGGATCTGAACCCTTGACCTTGGTGTTATAAGACCACTCTAACCAACTGAGCTAACCAGCCAGCATCATTATGTTATCTTTAAGTTCTCTTCCAGCTTTAAAATTCTTTAATTCATCATTAAATTAGTGCTTAAGGCAGACAGAAAAATAGGAGATTATGCAGTTAGAGTTCCCTGATAGTATTTTGCCTAAGGGAAGAGTTTCTTTCCCCTCCTCCAAACAGATTTTAGAAAAGATGTATAAGAAGCGTGTAAGAGGAACCGTAAGGGAAAAAAGTTAATGAGGTAAAAAAGAATATTGTCAATATAGAAAATACAAATTAATATGAAGAAAACTATGACAGCAGAATGAAGTTTCCTCAATAAAGGCAGCTAAAGAGGTAGTAATAATGTCTTACATTTATGTAGCACTTTACATTTTATATAGGGCTTACACACACATTAGATACATTTTAAGTTTCACTTTTTATTAATCCATTCATATTTACACATTTATTGAGGGTCCTCCGGAACTCATCATCAGCAAAATGGTCAGTCATCAGCAAAATCTCCTGTATCTTCATCCTCTTCTCTCAACTGTCCCTTCAGCTTCCTCTTTTTCTAAAGGAAATATGGCTCTCACTTAGGACCCTGTTTCTTGTATCCCTCCTCCCATTGAGCCTTGTCATGGAGTAGGTGTGGGCTTGTTCTTTCCAGATAATCCTCTCCCTCCTCCATAAAAAACCCAGCTTGTTATCAGGATATGCCACACAGTATCTCTACATACTCCCAGGATCAATCCCCACCATTTTAGCTCCTGGCTCAGTGTCATTCTCTCCAAAGGTATGCCTATCATAATTCTTGGTCATCTTAGTATTCATGTAGATGATCCCATACTACTACATTTCATTACTGGGCTTGCTCTGGTACAAAGCATAAAGTAATATGGGCATTTTCTTTCTAGTTTTCCTCCCATAGCTTCTTTGGGGTATACTTTTTTTCTAATTGGTTTTATTGAATATTTTAATATTACATAATTTAAACACATAGAAAGGTACTCAAAATATTGTATATGTAACACAGTACCTACCTCTAAGCTTTGTCAAACCTTAGCGTTTTACCACATTTGTTTCAGACTCTTCTCAATCCCAATTCTCTCCTTCCCTTTCCAAAGTACCCATTAGCCTGCTTTTGGTGCTTTTGATTATCATGCGTGTGTGCATACTATTTTTGTATATGTATGTATCCATAAATAATATATAGTATTGTTTAGCATGTTTTAAAGTGCTCATATTTTAAAATGGTGTCATATACTACCTGTTATGCTACAATTTAACTTTTTCCTCAGTGATTGTTTTGAGATTTATCCATGGTGATACAGGTAGCTGTAATCCAGTTATTTTTACCTACTCTAACATATTCCATTGAGTAAATATATTCCATTGAATGAATACTACAAATTACCCCTCCACCTGTTAATGAACATGTGGCTTGCTATGAATGTTTTTCATTATTCAAAATAGTTGCCTCAATGAACACTGTGTATATTTCTTTTCAGGCACGTGAGAATTTCTCTAGGTCAGTAGTCTCCAAAGTGGGACCTGTGTATCCTAGCACTATATCCTTGGAGGCAGGAAGGAAATATTAAAACTTCTATTTTGAGGGGCTAGCCTGTGGCTCACTTGGAAGGGTGGTGCTTTTAACACCACGGTAAAGGGTTCAGATTCCCCTTACTAGCCAGCTGCCAAAAAAAAAAAAAAAAAAACTTGCGTTTTTAAGATTTTCAATTTCATCTTTGTTTGGAATAAAGTAAATATAGGGAAGCAGCTAGAATTCCATTTTTTACTCTGATTTACCCTCATTATGTTCCTTGCGCTTGCTTGTTTTTAATCAGCAGAGCCTGCCTCCAAAGGAAAGCAAACTTAATTCCAAGCTCCACCACTGAGCTTGGTGGTGCTGAGACATCAGCTACACAATACACAAACATTGTCACTACTGATTGACTCAGGCCAGAGGCTGGTATCTGGAAAAGCAAAGGCAGGAGACCAGAAGCTGCAACTAATAGCTAGTACTCAGTCATTAGTTAACTCAGGGCAAACACTTTTACAACTCAAACTAAAGGGGCTTAGAAAAAGAGAGAGAGAGAGAGAAAGAAAAGGGCTTTAGTGACCTACACTGACACCAAGATGAAACCAATTTATACTTATACTAATTACAGTAAATGGGACTATGATTTCAATTGTTTAAGAATGAAACAAGGGGCTGGCCATAGGCTCACTTGGGAGAGTGTGGTGTTGATAACACCGAGGTCAAGGGTTCAGATCTTCTTACTGGTCAGCCACCAAAAAAATTTTTTTAATTAAAAAAGAATGAAACAACCTAAAGG